GAATCATACAATTCATAATTCGCATTATACGATTCAATGCTATTTAGCAAGTTATTGATTCCTATCATAAGATGATTTAAAATGATTTTGAATTTCACTATAAATGAATGAAGCAGAGAAATTTTGTATTATTGATGCGAATCAAATTATTGAACAATTCATCATTTTCTCTATTTTTTATTTTTCTTTCATCAATTCTCATGAAAGAATTAAAAGGTGATAGAAACATATATCCTTGAATGAAAAGAAATTGAAAGAGTACAACTGATAGTATCTATTTGATTATTTCACTGCTTTATTTGTCATGTTTCATTGTTTTGCTTTCGTTCTTCCAAAGTAGAGGCTTCACTTAGATTTAACTAATTATTTTGTTTTCTGAGACTTGTGGTTAAGTTGTTTTTATCTATTTTTAATATGTAATTATTATATTGAACTCTATATCTTGTATATTATATATTTTAAAGTTATTTTTTCATTATCTCTGAATCTTATGATTTCAATACAAATTATGATTCACAATTCAAAAATTAGCTAGGTGACTTACTATTTGAATCTCAATTTATCTTGTTTGGGATTGATTCGTAAGTGTTAGAAACCAAGAATTTAAATGAGAAACTATGCTCTAGATCGCCAGTTTCTTTGAGCATTTAACAGTCTATTTGCCTTCCCTTTTATTTATATATTGCTATTGCTATAAGAGTTATAATTCTCTTTGATTTCTTAATACGACAGTGATGTAATACTGCTTCTGAGTTCTCAACTACTTTTCATTATTTTTTTCTAATTTTTTACTATTGTTTGTTTTCTAGGATTCAACCTGCTGTTCTGTCATGGAGTTACGTATCCCTGATTCAGAAACACATGAAAATAGTAAAAGGAGAAAGAAATCTACTGTATGGGAGCATTTTACTGTGAAGACCGTTGGTCCTGGATGTGCTAGGGCTTATTGTAAAAAATGCCACAAATCATTTGCTTATCTCAAAGACTCAAAACAATCTGGTACCAGTCATCTCAAGAGACACATTGCTCTGGGAATATGTCAGAAAAATAAGAAATTCCCATGTTCCAGAACTGAAACAGAGTCATTTGAGAAACGAAGAAGAGTAAAACCTTACATTGCTCCTATCTCATTTGATCAGGAGAATTGCAACAGTAAGATTGTTCAAATGATTATTTTACATGACTATCCACTTCATATGGTAGAACACCAAGGTTTCATCGATTTTGTTCGGTCACTACAGCCCCAATTCAATCCACTCAGTTTAAAGGCCATTCAAGAGGATTGTGTCTCTATGTACCTCAGAGAGAAGCAAAAATTATTGAACTTAATTGATGGGATTCCTGGACGAATCAACCTCACTTTGGACTTATGGATGTCAAACCAAACATCAGCCTATATTTTTCTTAGAGTTCACTTCATTGATGGTGAATGGAATGTACATCATCCTATTCTTAATGTATTCATGGTACCATTTCCTTATTCTACTGGTTGTTTAAATCAACATGTAGTAAAGTGCCTGAACAATTGGCATTTGAAGGGTCGGGTATTTACACTTGCACTTGATAAAATTTTCTCCAACGAGATCTTGATCGGAAATCTGAGAAATCTTCTCTTCATTAATAATCCTATGATTCTCAATGGTCAACTGGTAAGCCAAACCTGTTATGCTCGTGTACTTTGTCGCCTTGCATTAGATGTGCTATCAGTTATGAGAGAAACTATTGATAAGGTTCGGGATAGCGTGAGATATGTGAAATCTTCTAAATCTAATGAAGCAAATTTTGTGAAGTTGAGGCAACAGCTTCAAATATCTAGTACAATGGACCTTGTTACTGATGACCAAAATAAATGGGACACAGTCTACCATATGCTTGTTTCTGCTTGCAAATTGAAGGAAGTTTTTGCTTGCTTTGATGCCTTTGATCCTGATTTCAGAATGACTCTAACCCTGGATGATTGGAAGCAAGTAGAAACTCTATGTAGATATTTAAATTACTTGTATGATGCAGCTAAAATTTTAACTCTTCAGCCATACCCAACTGCAAATGTATTTTTTCTTGAAGTGTCAAAACTTCAATTGGTATTGAGTTGTGCAGCCTTAAGCCATGATTCTTTCTGCAGTCGTTTGATTATGCCTTTACATGAGAAATTTGATCAATATTGGAGAGAAAGCTGCTTCGTCTTGGCTGTTGCGGTAGCCATGGATCCAAGATATAAAATGAAATTCGTAGAATCTACCTTTGCTAAGATATTTGGTGAGAATGCTGAGTACTGGAGAAGAGTTGTTGAGGATGGTCTTAATGAACTGTTCCTTGAATATACTATCTTAGAAGTGCTTCCTTTTACGGCAACAAATGATAATGAAGGGAATGAGTCTATGATAAAGACTCAGTCATATGAAGAGGGTGCATTTGATGAATCTCTTCTTGTGGCAACCAATGACAAAGAAAGGAATGAGGGTATGATAAAGACTGATTCATATGAAGATAGTGTATTTGATGAGTCTCTTTTTGTGGGTGATGATGGACTTTCTGATATCGAATTTTATATATCTGATCTTACATGTAACCAGCAATCTAAATCTGAATTGGATGAGTATCTTGAAGAGCCTTTAGAGACCAGAGTACAAGAATTTGATGTTCTGAAATGGTGGAGGATTAATGGAATGAAGTATCCAATATTATCTAGACTAGCATCAGATATTTTGTGTCTGCCAGTATCCACCCTCTCTGCAGATGCTGTTTTTGATACAGAAGTTAGAAAAATGGATAGCTACAGGAGTTCATTAGACTCCATGACTCTTGAGGCCCTTGTTTGTACCAAGGACTGGTTGCAGTATAAATCATTACCTGTCAATGTTCCAAATGCACTTGTCAAAGTTGAATGTTAAGATATAATTTTCCTAAGTTAGGGAATAGATTCTCAGCTAGTTTTTAGGTATTGAATTTTTGCTTGTCATTGGGCAATTAATTTGTTACTTGTTTATAATATAGAGTTAGTTCTGTTTTAATCATTCTGACCAAGCAAAATGTCAATTGTATTAATAGTTTCAACCAAACCAGGAAGAATTGTTTTTATACCTTTAATTAAAAAAATAGTGTTGGCCTTAAGGCAACCGTTCCGAAGATTGCCCTATCTAGAAAGGTATCTCGATTGAGGGATAGGAAATCTCACGTATAATGTAATATTAGAAAATTTTCAAATTGGGTAATTTAGATTGCAATTTTTTTAAGCATCTGAATGATTTAATCTGATACCATATCTGTAATATTCCTGAATTATTTAATTGTTTTCAAAATTCCAGTAACATGTATGAAAAACATACATGTTAACTAACATGTTATAACCATTTTTTTTCTTCTGGAATATTCTCAATCACATGTTTGCTCTCCTTTTAAATTTTATGTTGCACTTGCTTAAGGCATAATTTTAAGAATAAGTATCTATAAAAAATTATCATTTATTTTATTTCACTTAATACATTATTTGTATTTTTAAAATATTAAAAATATTAATTTATTATCTTTTATTTAAATTAGGTATTAAAGATTTTTATTATTTTTTAGAAGAAAAAAATATTAAATTATTATTTTAATTTAAGTAGTTATAATTAAGATATTCTTACTATTTAATATTTTATCATATTTTTATTATATATTATTTTAATTTAAATAATTATAATTAAGATATTAATATTTAATATTTTATCATATTTTTATTTTATATATATAATATATACATTTATATATATATATATATATATATATATATATATATATATATATATATTATCAATAAAATATGGAAATACAAAATTCTACAATATAATGTATAAAAAATATACATATATACAAATCTTAAAAATTCCTATTATAAAAGAATTCTTCTACATTAAACTAACGTAATAAAAAATGCGTTCCGATTTTCAAAGCAACTCTTTTACATTAAAAAAACATAATAAAAAATGTGAATATATAGTATTACGTGGACATTTATATTTTCATTAATTATATATAACAATATATAAATGAATTAAAAATTCCCTTTTATAATCGTTTTTAAGTTATTAGAGAGAGAAAAAATTGTATTTTTCTCTATTTCCTTCAATTTCATGTTTCTTTAATCTTTTATCTAGAATATAATAAAAAAATATCATTTCTTACTTATCTTCTTAATTAAACATTTTCTTTAATTTCTTTCTCTTCTTAAAACTATATCTCATGATAATTTTTCTTTAATAATTCACAATTTCATGATCAAATATTTATATTGTAATTTTAATATATATATATATATATATATATATATATATATATATTAAATTTCAATAAATTAAAATAAAATAATAAAAATGCGGATACACAAATGCAGTAGCTATATTTTTGCTAATTATATGAACATCATATGAATTTAATTCACATACTATTATTTATTTTCTATATCTGATTAATGAACAAGTAATCGGTGAATAAACGTGCATACTTGATAGGAGGAAATATTTTGCAAGTGATGGTCTATTATTTAATAATAATGTAGTAAAAGATTAAATTATAATATCTAAATTTAATTTTTGTTAAATAATTTTAGTCTTATTATTTCCCCAAAAAACTCGTATGCCATTCCACGCAACCGATCGAAACCCAACCCTTAGAAGCTCAGTAATTTTGACCGTATTGACATAATGTAATAATGGACGTCCAAGAAAATACATATCGAGTCAAAACATGAAAAATAGCATGTGGCTTGTGTACAAGAAGTGAGCATTCACACTAATCACAAAAACTGAAGGAGTCCTAGTCTTGCCTTCCGTTTGTCTACTTAACATGGGGTCATTAAATTATCATATACATAATATGTGAAGCTCAAGCCGACCAACAGATCATAAAGGCAACATATAAACAGCAAATCTATGTTGCAGGCACATAATAAACCATCCCTCTGTTGTTCTGGTGTGAACACAGCAGATTAGATTACAAAACTATGCAAGCCCCCAAAATTTCTACTTAGCTTTCCTTTTGGAACTCCGACCAGTTTGATTGCTTTGAACTCTTTTCTTTGATGGCTTCTCTCCCCCAACTTGTTTCCTACCAGTCGCATTGCCTGTATTCTTCTTTTCAACTTGATCAGTATCACAGTCCGTGCCAGCATCACTACTATCATTGTCTTCATCACTTTCCCCTGACTTTTTCTTTTTAGCAGGCTTCCTGCCTCTAGCTCCAGCCTTTGTCCCCTTCTTTGATTTGACACTTCCCAAATTCCCCTCTTCCCGGTCTGTTGGTTTCTCAGTATCATCATCTGCACCTTGTTTCTTTGAGGCCTGCCTTTTAGGCTTACCCACTTCTTTTACATCTATAGATCCACTAAGCTTTTGCAACTCTGGCACGTAAGCAGTTGTCTATAGGAAACATCATGTGTAGATCAGAAATACACAATAACGTTAAAAAAAAAATTTAATGACAGATTGAACATGTTCAGAATGACACATACCCTGCCACCAGCTGTGATGAAGTCAATTTTTTTCGCTGTATCAGATGAAAATTATAAATGTTCAGAAATAGAGACAAAAACTTTATTTTCAATTGGTATTCGGGGTCAGTAAGCATGGTACATTCATCCAATATGTACGCAGAAGAAAAGATACCCAGTGTAAAAGATACCCAGGATCGAAAAAACTGATTATAAATAAATATGCTTTTTATTAATACAACAGAAGAACTGGTGAGTAACAAATAAGAGGTACAGTGGATTTCAGAAAATATGAATTAAAATTAAGTTATATTGACTAAATAGGATAACTCCGTAAATTTAAAAAGGGAGTCTTCTATGATGCATGGGCGATGCTTCTAATTTCCAAATTTGTATAGATCAATAACTTAGTATCAATATTCCAATAGCACCCTCGATAGTAAAATGCACTCGAATTTCACTAATAATACGACCTTTCCTCACAAATATGAAAATGCATAAAGAACTGTAGTTCTACGTCTGCAATCTTATCAGAAATGGAAAACAAGCCAACTGGGGTACCGATCCAGAAAAGTAAATCACATTAATCAACAATACAAGCTTTTCAATTACCACAATTGCACATGCAATTAAAATATATACAGTAAGACACCTTGTGAAGGTCTGCTACCATTCATGTAGCACCAAGAAAATGTTTATTTTATAACAAAGTGAGGAAGCAAACCATCAACAAAAGCCTTGCCAGGCTTCTTTTCCCGTGAATGAAATATCCAACTGTTGGGATACTGACTACTATCTGCTCCAACCTCAACTGCTTTTTCAATGACCTGTACAAAGGAACTACTTGTCAACCAATACATATTAGAGAAGTTTCCTCACCACTTATTTTTCCAGGCTTTTTTCCCCATCGAAAATGAAATAACCATTCAAGAGGAAAACGGCTACAGTCAGCATCAACTTCAACAGCCAATCGAATAACCTACAGGTTTTATTCTCTATATTTTTTATTAATTACAAATGTACTATAAACTACAATCATTTCAAAGAAATCAATATTCCCACCTCTTTAATGCATTTGTACAAAGTTGAGCAGCCTTCATCAGACAGGCTAGAAGCTGTCTGCCGTGGATGAATTCTGGCCTGGAAATAAGCAACGATAACAAGTAACTAGGTATAATTTTTAATTTTAGAAGGGCAATATATTAACTGTTGATTACAAAACGATGTTAAAGCAGATACTGAATCTTGTGAAATGCAATTTCCAAAACATTTTGAAGCTCATGGTACAATGCAAAGAGAAAAAAATAGAATCTATTAAATAACGATAGCTCTTTTCCAGTCTATATAACAAGGTAGATTTTCCACAACACGGATAATAACCACACATCTGACATTAAAACTTCATTTATATTCTACCAGAACATCATTCATCCTCAAGAAGTTGGCAGGTTTGCCTCAATCTTCGTTTTGAAGAATTTATGCCGAATCTATTACTATTTCGAGGTTTCGCCTTATAAATATATCATGATATATATAGCTAAAAAGAAAATCTCATACAAATAAGACTACGTAAGCATCCCTTCCAGCATAATTGTCAAACTAAAATTGTGCCTTATTTCCCCCTCTATACTTTAGAAAAACGTCTAGAGTCTTAATGGCATACCAAGATAATTTATCTATTTCGTATGCATCAAGACAGGGACCAATGAGAAAGCTATACAAAACACAGGATCAAAACCGGGTTTCTTCGAAGCATATTATTGATCATCTTGCATATGTAGTAGTAAATAGGGAAATGCTACTAGTCTTTTATAAAGTAATAGTGTACATTCATTAGAGTCATTTCTTAAATTTCAAGTGATCAAGGCTTTATACTTATCCACTACAGGACCATGATGAAATTACTAAAAAAACACAAAATCGAGATGAATATTAAAACTAAAGTTTAATTAGCCATAATAAACTCTAAGTCCACATTTAAAATCTGGCATCTTCCACTTTAATATAATAGGAAACATCAAAGATTCAAAATCATATAGAAAATGTATGTTCTACTTACTTGGTATAGCACTTCATCTGCCACCCAATTTCCAATACCTGAAATATAGCTCTGCAAAGGTTGAAAATTCAGATCTTTAATAACTAATATTATGTCATGATACAGTCAGATGTAAAAAAAATATTAAATTCCTGAGCACTGAAACCATGGGAAGAGAGAAATGATATATATCTAACAGACACAGAATGACAGAAAAGTTTAGTGCTCATGCACTGACAGTGTAAAAAAAAGTTACACTGTTATTCAATCACAAATCACAGTTGGTTTGATTTTCAAGATATTTATTGTAAAAGTCAACAAACTCACTGTACATGATAATTTAAGATTGGATGATAGTGTAAAACTATTTCATATTGTCAATGCATAACCTTTTTTCTTTAAAAAAGTACTAAACTTATCCACATGCATACTAAATAAATTTATTTCATGCATACTAAGTACAAACAATTAATTAATGAACTCTCCATCATTATTTATCATTTGACTGTCTCATTTGCCTCATCAGCAGACTATTGTCTTGATTAAAGAACACCGTGTTTTGATTTCTCAAGTAGAAAATATAAGCACCCATATCTATAACCCCCACCAAGCAAAAACAAAACAAAAAAGGAAAACACACACACACACACACATAGCACAAGAATGATATATCCAAATAATAAACAAACAAATTAAAAGATGAGTAATATACAATCTATGGGAAGTGTTAAAGAAATGATATAATACTTGATCAAGTAATAAAGCCTTGATTTCAGTTTTCCTCTTGTGCAAAGACTCGGTAAACTTCTCAAGTGTCATTGGCTCAAAAAGGGCATCAGGACCAAGCTCAGATATGGGTGGCACTGATGTCGGCTACATCAGAGGAAAGAAAAAAAAAAAAAAAACACAGTCAATAGCAAACTTCTTTATTAAAAAAATAAATATGGATGGCATTGATAAGTAGAGACACAATACATCTTTGAGCAGACGAACTTTTGCGAATCGCCTTTTGTCAGTGAAAGACAACTCTAAACCATCATCTAACTGCATAAATACGATTTAATTTGATTAATATCATACAAAGTTCATATGAATGATAATATTTTTAAGAGAGAAATGTCTTCAAACCTAATGGCCCACTAGGCATGTTAAGAAAATTGAAAGATTAATCAACTTTCAACATGTTTTTACTGATTATGATGTGCTATTATGTATGATAATTAAAGAATGAAATGTTTTACTACAAAGTTTTGAGACTCTGAATTCAATCATAAATTCACACCCGCCATATTCCTGGCAATATCAAAAGTTTTATGCATATGTAAACTGGAAGAAATTTCTTCACAAACAATAACTTCTGTTGATCTATTTCATCTTCCAAATTTTGAAATGCAGATATAATCGTTCTATTGTTGTGAAATACATAAGAAAATATTAATTCATTGAAGTTCACTTTATGTGTATGGATGGGTTAATCTTCCGGGTTTACAGAGTAGTTTATCATATTCATCTAATCAGATTCCTAGCATAAAGGTTTATGCTAATAGAACAAACAAACAATAAAGGACTTTCAATGAATAGATTGCCATTTCCTGCTCCCATATCCCAACCTATTCACTCTCCCCATGTGAACATTTCTTTCATGCCATGAAACCAAGATTTATGGATGCAAACAAGTCAACCTGCATAAAATTTTATGGTTGCCTATAATAGAATCTAGCCCTACTCTAGCACATGGTCTACTTGCATCTATCAACTGAAAACAAATCTTATGAATCCACAACAAATGCAATTTAATTTGTCATCACATCAAGTCAAAAAATTGAATCACAACAGGTAACAAGACCACAAGGTCAAATAATTCAAGCATTCAACTCATGAATGGAGTTACAGCTCGAACCTCAATGAAAAATTTTGAATATTTTGAGGGCCACTCATCTTCGTCCTTTACAGCTGACCTACATGGCACATGTATGTTTATACCATTACAATAACCAGTAAAGGGTCATCTACATGTCAAATTATAGCAACAAAATAAGTAAATAAATTATAGAAACCATGAAATAGTAAAGCATATTTTAGAAAAAGAGTGGCATTGTAAATGACAGAATGAGGAGGAGTCTTCCATATGACTAACTGCTGAGTTAGCAAATTGGGAAAAGGTGATTCAGATGTATGGAGCATAAGGCTAGGGAGTGAAAATTGGAAGAAATGCCAGAATTAGCTGGGAGATCTGGAGAGACTAAGCACTCTCGAACTGCATAGAACATTTTTCTTTATCATTGTACTTTCTTCCCCAGAAGTTTTCATACAATTGGGGCCTTGTAGCACCCTGGAACAAGTCTGATTTTATCAATACAACAGCGAACTCTCATCACTACTATCGCATTGCATATAATTTTGGCACCTACCAATACATACAAAGCTGAAGCAGTTTTTGTACATTTAGTTGAGACATGGAATATAGGGTTCAATATCAAAAACATTGTGTATAGAAGGATAGAGATGAAAATTGACCATATTGACAAAATTCACAATCATAAGATCATTTCAGGCCAATTAGTATGAATTACAATCTTTTAACGCCAAATCTTATCAAAGTATCCTATTTAAGAACCCTAACCTTGTGTTTGGATGTGAAATTTTAACAGAATTTGAAATTCTAGAGGAAAGAGTAGAGAAAATTATCTTTTATGATATCTATTATTTTATCAAAATTAAAAATCCATTTTTTATTTAAGAATTTATAATAGTAATTTGATTACTTAATATTAGACAATTAAGAATTTGAAATTCTTCATATTCTCTAGTTATCACAATCGAGACACATTCGGCTTGGTTTCAGTCAAAGTTGTTTCTCAACTAATATTAGTCAGAAATTTATTTGTCAACATCAAATGTGAGTTTAGGCTGATGTCAAACGCAATTTTTTAGTTGACATCAATTAAGATTATTTTTAGATGATGTCAGTCGAGATTGCTTTTCACCTAACATCAATCAAAGCATGGGTCGGATTATATCTTAACAAATGTTAATTAAGGTTTTCTCAACCAACAATGGGTAAGGTCATTTTTCGACAACTGTAAGTCAAGGTTTTTTGTCAATGTTCATAGGAGTTATTTTCCAGTTGAAAGAGTTATTTTCAAGATGACATTGTTGGGATTATTTATATGTTTGATGTTAGACCAAGGCCATTTCTCACTTGACGTTTGCTAGTGGGACTATTTTTCAATGGATGTCAACCAGAATTGTTCAATTTAAGTTTGTAGTTGTTATATTTTGTGATTTTTGCATAGGTTGTTAATCAATCTTCACTAATGTTTTTTGTGGTAGTAATTTTTGTATTTGTTGGTACCAGAAATACTCAATCCAAACAATATAATTCAAATTTAATAAATTTGAATTGTATTATCTAAACAAAACATCTGAAAATTAAAACCATTTGAAATAAGAGTAATTCAAATCCTGTGTATTTTCTGAAAATTGTAAATTTTTTTATCCAGGTAATAAAAGAAGGACGCAGGGGAGATTGTGGTAAGAAACCCATGGTATATCTACAACATTAGGGTGTGAGTGTCTAAGAAAATCGATATTGTCATCTTAAAATGCAAGCTAATAAAAGATTCTACATCATCAAAATTTTGGAAACTTCAGCATAACTTATCAATACAACGAAATAAAAATTACTTAACCATACCCAATAGGCCTTACCTTTTATACTTTGTTACTGCAACCCCTTTAATGTATATAGCACCAGCCATACCTGAGACAGATAGAAGTAGAAACTCATAAGTAACAACAAATAGTAGCTAGAAAATTTTAGTAATACACCTATCTAACCCCTTTTGTCTCCTCCATATTTCGTCTTACCGCCGTTTCTTTTTAAAACCTTATATCGTATTTTCTAATTGTAACTAACTGTTGCAAAAGCTTAAGCAGTTAGTTGCATGCATGCACAAAAATGGTTAACATGCATAACAGAAAAATGCAAGAACTTCTCCAATTCGTAATGCGAGCTAAACAGCAAGTAAACAGTGAAAAACAAACAAAACGAAGGAGAGTTTCACGTGGTTCGCGTTGAGTTAAAGCGGAAAGAGAGAAAAACGAAGCTAGGGTTTAAGAGAGAAGGGGGAACCGAATTGGAAGGAAGGAAAAGGAGGGGAATCGAGCTGAAGCCACATGTTCTTCCCCTTCCGGTGAGCAGCGACAATGAACTTGCCGAGAACGGAAGCTTCGAAGTCGGCGCGAGAAACGGCGTCGATGACTTTGGAATCATCGGCGACAATACACTTCGTTATCTTCTTGCCGACGCAGTTTTCCTCAACGGCCCTCCTCGCCGCTTCTACCTCTGGAAGCTCCGGCATTGCTCTCTCTCACTCACTCACTCACCCCCTCTCTCCTCTGCCGTTTTCCCGCGTTCTTTTCGGGTGTCTTTCTTCACTTCTCGAACTCGCAATTTTTTATTGGGACGCCTTAGATTCATCCATTTTGGACTTGGATTGGATTTGTGGAATCTGGTCTAGGTCCAGCATTTCCTTGAGAATTTGGGCTAGGCCGGGCCGCCCATTTAGATAAAGGCTTTTGCTATTTTTATTCTCTTCATATTATTTTATTAAAAAGAAAAAAAATAGATGAATCTATATCTGTTAGGTTAGGCGAAGAGGAGGGAAGATGAAAATAGTATAGTGTGTTTGTGAAAAAGGAAAATTAAAATTATAAAGTTTATTGTACTAATTTTTATCCATATTTATTTATTTCTCTATTCTCATCTTAATTTTATTTCTATAATTTTGTATATAGAAAAAAGGGGAAATCTAAGTCTAGATATACGCTTATAGTACGTAGGTTTTCTTTGGTTGAAAGCATTTTATAGGTTTATAAATCACATACACAAAAATCTAACAGTCCAGTAACAACTCTGATTCACACTTTGCCACATGAATTGATCTCATTCCTCGCTGGTAGTATCTCCAATGCGTATCAGCATAATCTTTCACTTTCTTAAACATCTTTGGTTGTTCTTCATTCACCAAACCTTGTTCTGGTCCAATTTCTCTGTTTGGCTGAGGAGTATAGAACATCGCAATAGATATTCTTTCCCTCTTGGAGTTCACCAATACCCGATGCACCGGACTCTTGAAAATTCCATTAGTCATTATCTGCAATATAGGAAAAATATCATTATTGAACAATTGTTGAGAAAACCCATTAAATTATTTTGATTTGCTTAAATCTAAACCGCCAACACATGCAACAAGCAACAAATTTTGGTTGAATGAAAAATTAGATATTTATATACAATAATATAGTATTAGTATGTGTTCTTTTGTTATGAAACATAACAACACGCACCTCCATTTGATCACCCATGAGGACTAAAAGGGCATGAGAAATTGTGGGAATTGTGAACCATTTCCCACTACGGTGGACTTGGAGACCCTCAACGTCATCTTGCAGTATAATTGTGTACCCTGATCCATCTGCATGGGGTTTAAGCCCGAGCACAAGATCAGGTCGTGCACAACACGAATAGTAGTTGAACCTCACTTGCAATAGTGCTTGTTCACCAAATTGTTTCAGGAAACAATTTTCTTCTAAATCTAATGAGTTCGCCATAGCTCTAGAAATAAGATTTGTTGCCTCTCTCATCTTTGTTGTGTATTCTTCCAGAACATCCCTGCAAAAAGTGTTACTTACCAATCATAACGAACACAAACATGTCACTTCCAACCTTGAAATGTTTTTGTACATTTTTTGCATAATTAGTCTAATTATAGTATTTTGTTTCAATTTACCTAAAGGATGATGGGTTTTCTGGCCACAAGCTTGACTTCCTTCTATCTTCAGGGTATACATCAAGACACAAACGATCAGACCAATCTAAAGACTGACCTTCTTCAGGAATTGGATCTGCACCGTACCCTTCAAATTCTTCCACCCCTTTGGAAATGATCTTCTTTTGTTCGGATGGCTGCTTAAAAAATTCCCTTGCAACTTGACGAACCTGGTCCAAAAGTGAGCTTGATGTCCCATGGTTTATTGCCTAAATTCCAGAAAAGGTTATAGTACATGTTTTGTGCAAATGATATGTAGAAAATGAATCAAAACAAGTCATGTATGTACTTGGAAGCATCCCCAAGAAGAGAGAGTTGTTCTTAGCTTTTGTAGCTCTTCTTTTTGTTTAGTTGTTGGTGTTGATGAAGCTAGGAGCCCAAAATCAATGATGGGTAGAGAACATAACGCTGAAGGCACAGTTTGTGAGGAATTATCATCTCTACAAACATACGGTGGAGGTGGTTCATCACCATTTTGGACCATTTCTTGAACTCGCTTGGATAACAGTGCTTCCATCTGTGGCACTATTTTTTTTCACTTTACCACACAAAAATCTGTCAGCAATTATTGCATCCTCACCCACTCTGCATATTCTTAATTTTTTGTGAAACAGATATATTATAAAAATTATTTAGTAAACTAAGACATGTTAGGAGTCTATAAATTAAATTATAAATTATTATAAACCTAATATATAATATATTTAGAAGCATTATACATTTATAGTTTTACTTATAAAATATATTTTTACTCATTTAAATTACTTCTGAATTATCAATTTCTCAATTGATATAAATAACTGCTTGTTTATTTATTATTTATTTTGTTGAGAGAGTGGGTGCGGTTGAGGATGAGGAAGAGGGTGTGGTGGAGAGGTTGAGGAGAAGGGTGAAAGAAGTGACAGGAATGAAGGGTAGTTTGAGTATTTCAAAATTGAGAAAAAAAAAAAAAAGGTTTGGAAAGGTGTGAAGAAGAAAAAGGAGTGTGCGAATCACAACGGTCTCGTACTCAAAGGCCCACGTTAATATGCAGTGATCCACCAAGGCCCGAGCAAAATCCGATACATTGACGTGTCGATAATCCATTGATGAGATCCAACGGCCAGGCAGGTGCCACCTTTCCATGTTCTCTTACACTACACCCCTCACTTCACCATCTCTAGTTTCTCTCTCTATCTCTGCGATCTGCTCCGTGTAGCTCCTCGAAAATGCTGGCACGCTTAGCTGCGAAACGCTTCAACGAGATTCGTCACGTTTTCCGTCAGGTTTTCCGTCCATTTTCCGTCCCATTTTTCTCACTTCATTTTCCCATTTCTGTCTTTATTTATATTTCATTTATTATGTTTTGGTGTCCCCCTTTCTCAGCCTTCGAGGGCTTTCTCAACCGCTCTGAACTACGTAAGTGCTCTTGGTTTTCGCTTCAATTCACTCAGTTTCCATTTTGTGATATTGATTGTTGATGTATCCACTTTTGATTGAGATAGCACCTAGACTCACCGGACAACAACCCTAACCTTCCATGGGAATTCACCGATCCCAACAAAGCAAAGGTAATGTTTCATTGCACTTGAAATGTCGATATTCTGATTTTTTATAATTTATCATTATATAGTTCGCCATCAAAAATACAGAAAATGTAGCGGTAGTAACTGCTGAAGATTAGTAGTCCAATCATCTAGCTTATAATCAGTTTTTGGCATGGGTTGGGGTAATATTGTCATCTGTGTTTCGTCTTTTCAAACTTTCTGGGTTGTGAATTAATTTGACGTTTGATCACCATAGACATATGTTTTCAAGAGTGTAGACCATGGTTATCAGAATCTTATAATTCACTATTCGAATCTTATTCTTACAATTCGAGACATTTTGACTATCTACCTCATTGTATCCCACGATGAATCTTGAATGGCTTTGTATCTTATGAAACATGAATAAATCTTCGCAATTATTTACATAACTCTATCATTCATATACTTTTACTTTTTCACTGATTCTTATGACACAAATTAAAAAGTCTTGTGAGCTTAAATTTGTAAATGAAAAGGAGTTTGAAAGAGCCCTTATGAACTAATAGTATTTGTTTATTCCCCCTTTTTTATCACTCACTCACACATCAAGGCATGTACTCGATTTAGCTAGTTAATTATTTTGGGTTTAAATATGATTTTGGTACCTGAACCCTTTTACAAACTTGATTTCAATCCCTATATTTTAAAATAAAGACTTAACAAACTTCTTAATAACTAATAGTGTTTTTTGTAGGACTTCTTTTTGAGTTGTTTTAATCCATTTATAGTTTAAATTGTTTACATAATTACATTGAACATTATATATTATCCATATGATATACTTGAAGTAAGTTTTCATTGTACCTGAATCTTATGATTCGATACAAAATTATGATTCATGATTCAAAAAATAGCTCAACACTTCATGATTCAAATCTCGATTGATAACCTTTCAATTCCTTATTACAGAGTTAAGTCAGTATATTTTCCGAGTCTGAGTAACTGTAGAGTGATATGATTCAATGGTTTAGTGATTTGTTCTATAGTATACTGTTTCTAAAAGTTATGGATCTTTAGCTCAATACAAACATTTCATGTGTGATTCTTTTTTGTATCTAGCCCATGATATAAACATTTAATGCTTTTAATATGTGCTAATTACAGGTTAAGGAGATTTTATCTCACTATCCATCCAACTATAAGCAATCTGCAGTGATTCCACTTTTGGATCTTGCCCAGCAGCAGCATGGAGGCTGGCTCCCTGTTTCTGCAATGAATGCGGTATGTTGTCCTCCTGCTCTATGTATTGTTCTTAGAACATGTAGAAACATATTAAAGAACTACGTCTGATTCTGTGAGCAGGTCCGGTAGTCCTGTTGGATAGGAAAGGTGTTATTGTGCTCAGTAGATAGTGTCTTTTAAGATCTAAGTAGAATAAGACCCTTAATAATTCCCATGATGTCTTGAAATTCTTGTAACAGGACACAAAATAAGTTACAAGATGATCATTTTGAAATTCTTGTTAAGGTTGTCAGAGTGAAGTCTTTTGTGCTTGATGTAGTTAGTCTTGTACATTCTTTTGCTAAAACATTCTGTTGTTTGACTTACGTGCTATGCTTAAAATATATGCATGCAACAAGGTTTGATGTATTATTATTTGTTATTCTATGTAGTTACTCATCATTAGTTGTTTGAGTTTTATTTGTAACTTCTTTTCACTGATGATTCAGTAAAAATCCTAAATTTACATAATGTTTGCAATCTGTAGTTTAAATTTCTTTCTAATGCAAAAAGCTATGTTATTCTTCATTAACAATCAGCTTTATGGATTATTCAGGTAGCAAAGATTATAGAGGTCCCCCCGATACGGGTCTATGAGGTTGCCACATTTTACTCCATGTTCAATCGAGCTAAGGTGAAAGCATATTATGCTTTAGTGGTTTTAATTTTCTTAATCCACATTAATACAGGCCAAAGCTTAGAATCAACTTGCTTTCAGGTTGGGAAGTACCATCTTTTGGTCTGTGGAACAACACCTTGTATGATACGAGGTTCACGAGGAATTGAAGAAGCCTTACTGAAACACTTGGGTGTGAAGCGCAATGGTTAGTTCACCTGTCTTAATTTCTCCCATTATCTGTTGGCTGTCATTGAATCGGATCTTTATTCATGACAAATTGGAACAATAATATTCTTTTCCTAATAATTAGTTTCCTTTCACCTCTGATTTGCAGAAGTAACGCCAGATGGTTTGTTCTCTGTTGGAGAAATGGAATGCATGGTGAGTCTTATTTTAATTTTGTCCAGTTTCTTGTTTAGAGTTGTATTATTGCTTGATATGCGCTGAATCTACAATTGTACTAAGAGGAAAAAACTACATTATGTAAATAGCCGGCCTGTTTGGCAAACAGTTTTGTGATAATTCTGTATATATATATATATATAGCAATCATGAACTTTATGAAGTAGTGTTTAACCTTTTTCCAGTAATACTAAGTTATCCTAAAAATTCCTTCTATTCTTAGCAATAGGGCACATTAAAACAAACTTCATGGGACATTAGTATCTAACTTATAGGAAAAGAGAATCACCCATTGTGGTATACAGATCGAGCATGCGAAAGAGGTGCATACGTGTCTTCTGTATTTACTGAAGCCAGATACACTGCAGTCCTACTATATGTATTCTAGAGTGACCACATGATGTTCATGGGTAATTTTATTGATCAACCAGTGGTGAATGATGGACTTTATTGGTGTTGTGCAGGGATGCTGTGTGAATGCTCCTATGATTACAGTGGCTGATTATTCAAATGGATCAGAGGGATATACATATAACTACTATGTTCGTCTTTCCTCTTTTTTCCCTATTTTTTTTCGGGGGAGGGGGAATGTTGTTTTTAGATGTGTTTCTGAAACACTCTTTAACATGTCATATTGATGCCAATTCCAGGAAGATGTAACCCCAGAGAAAGTTGTTGAGATAGTAGAAAAGCTGAGAAAGGGTGAGAAGCCACCGGTAAGGCCATTGGCTATGATCTATTTCAATATTGCCCGTGTTTTAGAAACTTATACCTTGTAACTTTATAAATCTGGTTTCTGTTTTTTTTAGCACGGGACGCAAAATCCCTTACGGATTAAGAGTGGACCTGAAGGAGGGAATACTACTTTGTTAGGTGAGCCCAAGCCTCCTCCCTGCCGTGACCTGGATTCCTGCTGAAGTGTGATACGTTTTGCCTTCAATAATGTGTGGCTTGCACGTCTTCGAGCTTGCCTTAATTAAACATTGTCAGATTGTCAGATGCTCAACCAATTTTTGTATTAACAACCTGCCTGGATGGCTTCCTTTAAAAAAATATATGTGCCAAACGCAGTCAATTTCTTGGATTGTTTATTACTTCCAAGCGTATCTATATACTTTTCCCGTACTCTGTACATTAATCATCATGAATGAAATTTCAGATTACGATGACATAGAATTATTTTGATAAGTGAATTTTATTACTTTGTATTACCCACGTGGGTGTGTAGGATGGACTTATCAACGTTAGTACGGTAGAGCTATCGTGTTTAATGCAACATTCACTGTCTTGATAGGGGCCAATTAAGAAGGGCACTCCGATCCTGGAGGATAGATTGAAAAATGAAGTTCGATTGTTTACCAAATATCAAATTTGAGGATTATGTTTCATCCTTCGCGGGACTAAGAATTAATTAACATGGATCCATGACGTTCTCCCGTTCTCGTCTCGTGCATGCATCATTCTTGTTTTTAGGTTTTAACGAATTCATGAATAACTGCCAATAGACGTGGTATATTCTTTGGTTGTTGGACTTCTCGTAGGACGCTGACATTATTCCGTCGTATTTATCATGTAGTATGTGACTACTTAAAGTAATCTTCAATTTTTTTTGTTTTACGACATAGACTACGCGGTGAATATTGCCACGTTGTACTCATGTTTGCTAAATATTTAAATTTAAATGTATTCTGATTAGCTAAGTCAAAAAATAATAATGATTTAAAATATAATAACTGACTGTTCATTAAGAAATCAAAAGATAATAAGATGATAATAAATTAAGATAATATCAGTTTAATAATAATAACACTATAAAATATAATAACTGAACAATTTATTAATCACAAATAAGAAATAATAAAATAAATATTTTTAATGGATTTGGGCTTGGTTGCTTTTTTAGTAAGGTTTTAGAAGATATAAGGAAATTAAATGGAGGTGGAAAGGAATTAATTAGGGAGAAATCTGAAAGGTCGATAGTTTGCGGGTGGTAGCACCGGTACGCAACAGAGCATTGGTGCGTTCGATAGAGTCGATGATGACAAGGCAAGGCACGTGTATATATTCGCAGGTGGTCTGAAGCGTGCCTAGACTAACTAGGTAGGTGTCTGCTCAATCCCACCCAACAATTTCATCTCTGCCCTCCAGGTTTTCTTTCATTTCCCTTTTTGTGAATATTCTTTATTTATTTATTTATTTATTGTGCTAATATGATTTCTGGATTGAAACGTACTCTCTGCACTGAAAATATCATTTGATATTTGCAATACTCCACTCCACTCCAGTGGTTGAGTGAGTAATAATATATGGTTCTGCAGATTTTTGTTTGAATCCAAAACTAGTGATGGGGTCTGCATCATCTATGTTAACTCAATACGACATCGAGGAAGTTCAAGAACACTGCAATAATTTATGTAGTTCCTTTCTCTCTCTCTTCTTTTCCCTTTATTACCGTCCGTTCTTTTCTCTTTAATTAAGATCTGAAAATTGGGTTTCAAACTTAGTTTCCCAGCAGGAAATTGTGTCATTATATCAAAGATTTTGTCAACTTGACCGCAATGCCAAAGGATTTATTTCCGCTGATGAGTTCTTGTCCGTCCCTGAATTTGCCATGAATCCACTTTCTCAGGTGCTCTCCTTTTTTTCGCTTTATTGTGACGTCGACCCTAACATTCATTCTTGTTTATTTTGAAGCTTATTTACTTTTCTCCCCACTACACGCGAAAGGATGGTGTGTAATCTATTTTACCATTGTTGATTGACTGTGTGCTTATTTGCAGAGGCTACTCAAGATGGTGGACGGTTTGAATTTTAAAGACTTTGTGGCCTTCTTATCTGCATTCAGTGCCAAAGCTAACGCACAACAAAAGATAGAGCGTACGTTTCAGTTACATCAAACAGCAGAGTTATTTAATGATATCCGATGTTGTTTTTATGAATTATAGTTTTACCTTCAGAAGTTAGAAGATGTAGTTGTAAGTTAGGGATTGATTTTGTATTCCCACTGTTCAATCGAGGTTTCTAAGTCAATTATTGGGATGTTCAATGGGTGACGGTGCCATTTTTTGTTGCTTAGCCCACGCCTATAGTCTCAGTGGAACTCACAGTTCCATAGACGTGGTCAGTTATGGTCACATTCTAGTTTGTGTATTGGATAATGAGGTTTCTCTTGATTGACACACATAGCAGGTTTCTAAATTCCATATTTCAGTCGGAAAAGGGTTGGACTGCTCACTCATAAGCACCCGAAAATGATTGGGAGGGAAAACTTGCTGTGCCATACGGGTACGCAAATTTTGGGCTGACCTATCTAAACTTTATACGGTCCAATTGAATGCAATGTTGGTTAAATTCATTTTGGATAAAAAAGCTAAGCAAAACTTCCAGCCTATCAATTATTACCACCAACCAACCAATTATATTCTATTGTGTAAACATAACTCCCAGTCTTTCAGTTATTACCGTTGACCAACCAATAACCAACTATGATCATTAAATTGAATCAATTTCACCACAATAATCCTATATTTGGGACTGATATAAACTCATCTTTATGAGGATTCCCAAGGTTTCGTTAGAGGCAATCTAACAATAGTATATATGGGTAATACTACAGAGAAGTGACTTTTAGGGTGGTCAGTGGATACTTTTGTGGGTATCCTATTTTTTTTATGCATAGATCATACTTGTTAAGTTGTTATCATTCCATTGATTCTGAATTACACTTTAGGAGATTGGGGTTTTGCATTTGAATGAACTAGATGTTTCTGCATCTCACAAATAAAAGGGTGGTCCAGTGTACATGGCTCCTGCTTGGTGGGGATTGAGGTGGGTAGATGTCAAGCTTTAACCCCACAAGCAGAGAGACTGGTTCCTGAATTGGAACCTGACCCTCTTGTTGCTTCAAGACTCACCCTCCTGCATCTCACAAATTTGAACAAATGAGGTAGAATGAGACACAAATGCATAGAAGCAAGCAAAAAAGTTCATTTATGAATGATAACTTTGCATATAGTTAGAACTTACTTACGACATAAGTAGTATTTTTGAGTAGGATCCAACTCTGGGTTAGAAGACTTAGTACCTATGTAGTCTTCACAATTTTTGTTAATGTATTTTGAAGAGCTATAGCTGCAAATTGCTAGTGCAAATATGGAGTTCAAATGTTATGAATTATTCAATGATTTTCATCATTGAAATAGGGAGTTCCTTGTGCAGAGGGGAATTGTTAATTTTTCTTTTAATAAATTATAATACTATATATTACTACCTTCATTGTACTTATAGTTTCTTGCTTCTTGCAGTTATTTTCAAAGTCTATGATTCAGATCGTAATGGAAAGGTGTCTTTTAAAGATATATTGGAAGTGCTAAAAGATTTGTCGGGTTCATTCATGTCCGAAGACCAGAGAGAGGTATCACCAGCTATCTATTGGCTTACCTGTATTGCTTAATCATGAAGTAGTTTTCCCAGTAATTGGTGAATAAAAAAGTAGGTCTTCATTAAGGGGCATCAATTGTTATTGGTTTGACATCCCTATTTCAAGTTGGTATGCTGAATTATGTGTTTAGTATCATATAGTTCCTAGGATTAGTATCTTCGTTATTGGTTACAACTAGAAGTTCTTCACAATATAATTTGGATTGTTTAGTTACTTAGTTTTTATTCCTCGATCACATCTATTATGCAAGTTCACTAAAGGGGAAGCTAATGGCTAAAATGGTAACCAATAGGTTTCTCTAGTTTTTATAAGATCCAGTTTGATTTTACCTGTTGTATTACCTATATGCTATAAATTAATTGATTTCCATTTAACAAAAGCTATTTTTTTTTCTCCATACACCTTTTCAGTCGTGGTTTGGCTAATTTTGTTTTCTGTTTAATTTGCAGGAAGTTCTCAGTCAAGTTCTAAGAGAAGCAGGATACACAAAAGACTCCCACTTGACATTGGATGACTTCATTAAGGTCTGTACATTTTGTTATGTATTTCCTCTGGACAATTCTTAAATGGATATTGCAAAGAATATGAAAGAATAGCTAAATCGTAGCCTATTTCGTCATTTGGTCTTCTAACCTGTGGACCCGGGATAAATCTACTTTTGAGTCGTTTGATTTTATTCACAGGCCACACTGGGAGGGCTTATGGGAAAATGTTTTTACTAGTGGATGGATCAAAAGATTAGAAAAAAAGAATGTCTTGCTCAAAAAGAATTTTTACTAGAGTAAGCTATTAAAAATTAACTTGCCTGCTGCTTTGGTGATCCAGTAATTTGACCTGATTGGGCGATTCGCAAATGATGAGATTTTTTAATACGAACAAGATGATTTTAAGTGTAAAATTTTTCAATCATATTATAAGAATTTGGATTGCTAGCATATCAGAGTTGATAGTTTGTGAAAGATTTGTGCTTCAGATACCCAAAAAAATAGCAGATGAAAAAAAAAAGCGTTACATCAAAATCTGATAGTAATACCAAGAACTTCTGTATTACAAGACTTTTTTAGCCTTTCTTTCTCTCTTATTTCTGTATATAAACAACAACAAAGTCTTATGCCAATAAAGGTTTTCTTGGATAAACTTTTCTCTTTACACTTTTAAGAGAAAAAATAAAAAGAAATGAACTTTTCTTGAAGTTAAAAGTAGTTTGTGTATAAATTAACTTGTAGAATGTTTTTCATTAACTTTTCTAACAGATTATTTTTAACTGATATATAAGCTAATATTAGCTTATACAGAAGTTTATAGTATATTTCCTTTTTTTCTTCTTTTGGACAAGCTTACGTAAACAAGTCCTAAGTGAGATTGGCTACATATATCATTTGATGTCATTCGGCTTCGTTCTTTATTTCTGTATGTTTGATTTTATTTTTTATTTTAATTTGTCACAGGTTCTTGGTCAATCTGACCTAAAAATGGATGTTGAAATCCCTGTTGATTGAAACTAGATGCAGTTTTCCTGTTCTCCTGAAAGATAAAAATTGTAAACTCTATTTATAAGATTCTTGTAATATATTTCATGTGGAAATGAAAAGTGCACAGTACTCCTTTTCCTCTTGGGATTCTTTAATGCCGTTGTCTTTCAGCCACTAGCTGTTTTGGAGCCAATTTGAGAAGCTCTTGAGCTTGATTCAGTTTTTCACATTCCTTGACAGTTTTTTGCAATTTTGTGAGTCTCCTGGATTCATATTTGAGGTTATAAATTTTTTGCCGATCTCAGCAGGAAGGAATTATCTCTTCAGCACAAGTGTTAGATTAGAACATCTTGATTCTCATCAGGATTTGTTAGGATACTAATCTGATTCGGTTGTCATCCAAACAAGATAATTTTTTGATGAAGTATTTGGATATTCTATAAAAGTAAATACCGTTTATATATTAATATTATCTAATCCTTTATAAAAGTGAAAATATATAAGAAATATCAGCTATCTGCAGAAAAAGGAAAAAAGTGTTGTTTTTGTCTAAGGGGAACTCCAACAGAAGGCCTTTAAAAAGGGGGAGGGAAAAGAATGCCAAAAGAAAGGATGGGCATGCATTGAGAAGATTTACATTGTGTATTTATAATTAAAGTTTTTCATCTTAATAGATTATCCTCACTTGAAGGGATATAGATTTGTTTTTTCCTTTATATTTTTCTCCTGGAAAATCAAATGACATGCTAAATGTTTGTCCTTTGAGGACAAATCAAACGAAGCAAGATGGTTAATAAAACTCTATCTGCCCTGACAACTGGTTCATTTGTAGAACTCCAGGATCGATAGATAGAGAAATCTCATCTGCGAAGTAGATAAAGCTTGATTTCAGTTATTAGTGGAGAAATAATTGATCATCACGGTAACAAGTTTCACGAATAAAGATTCCTAGCTACAAAGTTCATGAAGTGGAACTTTTAGCATTTCTAACGTGTACAGAGTGAGTTTGGTCATTCTGAAAACAAGGGAAATAGTTTGGTAAACCTCAATCTACAAATGAAAAAGGAATAATTTGGCATTATTATTTTAGTAAAATAGTAATATAATCAAAGAGGAGCAAGACAAAAGAGGATACTGATATTAGAGCAATTCCAATACCCAATTCTTATACAGGTTGTTGTTTATAAGTTACTATTCCTAAGAATCTGCAATTCAAGTTCACTGAATTGCCAGAACATGTTCTTAAAAATAAGTTCCATCTCTTTATAAGAACCGGTTATTAAGAATAAAAAATTTAATTTCTACTGTTATTGTGTTTGTCAGCTACGATTTTAATATTATTGAAATGAAGGCTTATGGAATTGAAGATATATATATATGTTTAGAAGTTAAAGTTTTCATAATATTATTTATTATAAGATCTTTCTTTATGTTTATTTTTTCAAAGTTTAGTTTAGTTCTTTTATAAAATTAAAACTTATACCATCTACTCTTTTATGTTGGTTCTGAGAATTTGATCTATGTATAGCAAATTACGGTACATAATATCAGAGGGGGAAATAAAATAATATTAAGTATAATTATTTTATTATAATAATAGTAATATCAGTTAATTTTGTTTGTATAGATATGTGTATTCACAAACTTTGAAAATTTCAAACAACTTTTATTTTAATTTAAACATTGACGATGATAATATTCTCGTGAAAATTAGAAAAAAATTATTTATATAAGTAATTTGACCAATTTTTAAATAATTTATATTTTTATTTCTAATAACTGTTGTTAACAACTTTGTTATACATATTAAGTGATGATAGAAAGAAACACAGGGTGAGCATTGCTATTAGGGTTGCGTTGTGCATGGGTTCAATTTGACATCACCGTATAAGGCATAAATATGCTAATAAAAATATTAAAAAAATATATATCCTAAAATGATTACTATAGTTAAAATAATGCTGTACAAATTATATAAACCTCGATTTTCATCTTTTTTTAATATAAATAATTTCATACTAGAAACTACTCATAAATCATATTAAAATGGATTTTAATATAAAATGTATTGATTATATGGTAATACATTTCTCTTTTATAAGAACAATACACTCTAATTATATTCAGCAACATAAATAATAACGTGAAATTGCAAGGAATTAATTGTTGGCCGGCAAGGCAAATCAAAGTAAAAGATTTGGGAACAAATCTATTATTAATTTACTCGTGCAATTTAAATAGTTTAGAAATAATAATTATTAAATTGATATTTTATCTATGTTAATTAAATTTAAAAAATAGTTCAAAACGAAAATTTATTTTTTATTCTTTGCAGCCCACAACATTCTGAAATCTTAAATAAAACAAACGACCGCCCAATGTTTGTGAAAAATATACTGCTTTGCTGTCTCAAATCACTGCTCCATTTATTTATGCATTTGCACATTCTTTGTGTTATACAAAAAATTACTTTTTATATTATTGTAACACTCTCCAACTATGATTCCTCTTTTTTCTTTATTATTAAATTCTGCATTTCGATTTCATGTTAGCATAGCCACTATGAACACATAAATTATAATTATTAAACTCTTTTTATATGTTGGTGTAATTGGAATTTGGATTCAAGTTTTTAGACGTAAGATACAAATTTTGTAGAAAAAAAATTGCATGGTGAAACAACAAAACACGTAAAAGTTGCATAATTACTTTTTTACCCTTCGTTTTCTTTCTATAAAACCTCGGTGGACGTTGTTTCCGTTAGCGTAACCGCTTACCGTAAACAACTTCTCCGAGCCAACCGTCTCTAACAAACTTCGAAACGAAACTACCTTCTTCTCTTTCTCACTCTTAAACACTCTCTCTACACTGTTTCAACAATGTCGAAGGCTTCTCCATCTTCAAGAACCCAAACGTCGCCGCGCTCGTACTCCTCCGCATTCGCGTCCACGTCGGCGACGAATTTCTATCCTGGAACGTACTCCTCGGCGAACGCCAAAGTGCAGCGCCACTTTAGGTCATCATCAACGTCGCCGACGGTGAGATTCTTGGCGGTGGAGCAGAGAGCGGAGTCTCCGGTGCGGCAGTCGATAACCGTGACGACGAATAGTCAAAGGAACAAAGAGGCGGTATCGTCGTCGTCTTCGTCGAAGAGTGAGAGCGAGAAGAGGACGTGCATGTGTTCTCCAACGACGCACGCTGGGTCGTTCCGATGCGCGTTCCACAAACAGTTAGTGGAGAGGCAGCGGCAGCGGCAGCAGACGACGTCGTTAAACGGTAGAAAACTGAACCTTCTGAGATCAGCGATGAAGAATTCGGTGGTGCGGATTGGAGGAGTGGAGGGAGAGATTCTGAGGAGAGCCTTGACGACTCTGATTAGACCATCGTCGCATCACTTGCGTCGGCGTGAAGCCTTTGAGCCCAGGCCCACTCGCCTCTCCCTCATGTCCAAAGCCCAAGACCACTCAATTCTCAATAATAATAATAATAATAAATAATAACAACAGCAATAATAATAATAATAATAATAATAATAATAATAATAATAATAATGTTTTCGTTTTTCCTAGCGGAAAATACAGCTTGTACATTTCTGTGAATACTTTAGGTTTTGTTTGAAGACCAACAAGTGTTGCATTGCAATTTCCTTTTTCTTTTCCGGAACATTTAGGAATGAAAATAAAAAGCATTGAGTGTGAGTTGTAATTGGAGGGATAGAAAGAAAGATAATGGATTAGGAATGTATGACTAATTTCATCTGATATTTATATAATACTATAAATTCTTAATTACTTGCTCTCCAAGATTCCACTTCACTTCATGCCGTTTGCAATTTCCTTCTCACTCAATCCTCCTCCATAACCTCATTTCATTAAACACCCACTAAACAAATTATATGAATTTATAAAAAATATGAGGAATCTCAGTTTATAATTTTAATACTTCGTTTTAGATTTAATATATTATCAAACGAAATGTTATAATATTTAAAATAAATGATTTTTTTTTAGAATGGTTATTAGATTTGGAAGACAATAAACAAGAAATCTTCTTTCTTTTATTTTTTTGTATACAAATGGTTTTGAATTTGAAAGATTAAATCAAGACCTAAAATTATATCAATATATTAAGTAATATCAATTTAATAAAATCTGAAATGAATTATATTTAAAGAAAAAAAATAGTTTCAACCTTTTTAAATAAAGAAGTCATGAATTATACCCATATTTAAAATAAATAATCTATTTTTGAAGGATTATTCACAAAATTGATGAACCACGTTCTTCAATTATTTAACATTTAAGATAAGTGTTATCAATGTTTATTGGCTTTATTAATTTTTATTAGTCTTTTATGATTATTTTTATTGTATTTTTTAGGTATAAATTAAATATCTCATACAATGAAATACAATAAATTTGAATATTTATTATTTTTATTTTTGATTGCATCTTATTTCATATTAATTATGATATTTAGAAAAAAATTTATTTATTTTATTAGTTAATAATGATATGCCAATTATTAATTAGTAATATGATGGTTCCATTTTTTAGATTGATGATTCAAATTAAAATAATTTATTTTTCTGTATCAAATTAAATTTATTAGAATTGAAAAAAAAAACAGATTATATATATATATATAGAGAGTATGTATCTCAAAAGAAATTAAGAAATTTCTTCTTTACCGTTATAAACCTATGATCTTATAGCAAAATAATAAACACAAATAAAAAAATATAAATTAGCAAATCAACTAGTTAGTATTTTTAAAATTTTATATAACTAAAATTGTATATATGATTCAAATTTAAATAATTATTTGTCTTTACAAAAAGTTAGCACGTTAAAAACTTTATATATTTCATAAAACTATATGAGAAATAAATTATTAATACAATTCAAACTACTTAATTATATTATAACTTTAGTGCATCAAATTCTCATCTCTATTAAAAACTATAATGACTTTGCAGGGGAGACCTTGACATTGACATTCAAAATGAGTAAATTCAGCGTGACCTGTATTAAAAGAGTAAACTTTTGTTAGTAGGAGGATGATTTAGTTACACTTTAGACAGTTAGGTTTGGACAGTTTAGTTACACTGGCAGGTAAGCATGATTATTCACGTGGAGGTGATGGCAGAGGGAGAAGCTATTGTCAGGTCGCATTATTTTTCTACATTCATTGATGGGAGTCACAGAAAACTTAGATGGTGGGTAGGGACCACACAAAATTCCACCAACCTCTCGGAAACCCATGCAAGGAACATTAATGGTTGACAAAAATCTCATCCTCCAAGTTTTCTTCCTTTGGAACTTTATATAACCCTACCTAATAGTTAGTTTGTCATAATCATATCTCAAAAATGGCGAGGCTGGTTCTCAAAGCTGGCAGCAGACCCCCATGGGTGGGTCTTGCGGCTGCAGTTTGGATTCAGATAGCAGTTGGGAATCCATTCAACTTCCCTCTCTATTCTTCTGCCCTCAAATCTGTGTTGTCTCTCAACCAGCAACAGATCACTATTCTGGGAGTGGCCAATGATTTTGGGGAGAGCATGGCTCTGCTTCCCGGCATTGCCTCCAACAAGTTCCCTCCTTGGGCTTTCCTTCTCCTTGGTTCTCTCCTTTGTTTCTTTGGTTATGGCCTTATCTACCTCACTGTTACCCAAATTGTTTCTCAAATCCCCTATATCCTGGTAATTCCTCATTTCAATCCAAATATGTGTTCTATTTTGCTAACTTTCCTATCAATTCACCTTCTCTTGCGTGCATTAGTTTCTAATCTCTTTTATCTCTGTGGCTTCTTAGAATTTGGGTTTGGACTTAACTCGTATGCTAACAGTGCCATTCACTTGAAAGACATTATTTTGATCATGTAATTAGTCCCATTGACCCCTCAGGCAGAGAATTCGGTAATATCTTTCAATGGTGGTCTGATAAGTTCATTAGCAGTTGTTCTGATAAATTCTTAGAGGTTGGAGACTTGATTCTCAATAATTATATGATCAAAATGGTGTTTATTAGTGAGGCACGTCTCTCTTTGTGAGGCAGCTTTTAGGATTGAGTTAGGTCCAAATCCAAATTATAAGATGTCTTGACAGATATGCCTTGCCCTGTGTGTTGCCACTAACAGCAGTGCATGGTTTGGAACAGCTGTGTTTGTCACCAACATGAGAAACTTTCCTCTCAGTAGAGGCACCATCTCTGGCATTCTTAATGGTTATGGCGGGATCAGTGCTGAAGTATACACCTTAATTTATAGCATGGTGCTGAAAGGGTCAGCTTCTAAATTACTCTTGTTCCTAACAATTGGACTTCCTGCTGTATGTTTAGTTTTGATGTTCTTCATTCGGCCTTGCACTCCTCCTTCTGGGGAAGACTCTTCAGTGCATGTGCATTTTATTTTTGTCCAAGTTGCAAGTGTTTTACTTGCCTCCTATCTTGTTACCACCACAATTGCGAGTGACATGGTCTCTATGAATGATGCTGTTACCTACATCTTGGTTCCCATAATGGTTATACTTCTGATAGCTCCCCTTGCAATTCCTATCAAAATGACACTATTTCCTTCTAATTCAAAGAGAAATGTTTCGCTGGCTGGTTCTTCAGATCATTTGGCATCAGGCGATGACATTTCAAGGCAGACAAGTCCATTGCTCACACCATCTTCGTCAGCTGCCATTCTTGAGAGTTTTCATGAAAGTGGTGATGTCTCGGATGTTGAGATGCTCATTGCAGAAGGACAGGGAGCCGTGAGGGAGAAAAGGAGACCTAAGAGGGGTGATGATTTCAAGTTCCGTGAAGCTTTCATCAAGGCAGACTTTTGGCTTTGCTGGTTTGCTTATTTTCTTGGGGTGGGCTCAGGAGTAACAGTTCTCAATAATCTGGCTCAAATTGGAGTTGCCTTGGGTGTAGACGATACAACCATATTGCTCTCAGTCTTCAGCTTCTGCAATTTTATAGGCCGTCTTGGCGCTGGTGTTGTTTCTGAATACTTTGTTAGGTATGCTATTTAAATAGTAGGATTAAACCAAATATGACAATTCTTTAAGGCATTTCCTCACTTTGCATTCAGCTTTATGACATAGTCTCATCAATTAGAAATAGTTTTCTAATTGTGTAATGACTTTCCCCTCCATATTTTCCTCCTTGTGAACTGAATTGTGACTTTGTAATCCTGTTGGAGAATTTGTAGTCGTAATTGTCTTATACTTGTTTTGAGACGTTGAGCATATACTGATGAGGTTATTATCATGACAGGTTGATAGCACTACCTCGAACATTTTGGATGACAAGTACACAAATAATCATGAGCATAGCACTTTTACTTTATGCTTCTGCTGTAGACGGCACTCTTTATGCTGCAACTGCTTTGCTTGGTATCTGCTATGGGGTTCAATGTTCTATTATGGCTCCAACTATCTCTGAGCTTTTTGGTTTGAAACACTTTGGTGTTATTAGTAGCTTCATGATGCTAGGCAATCCAATTGGTGCCCTTATTTTCTCTGTTTTTCTTGCGGGCAATGTGTATGATACAGAAGCTAAAAAGCAAGGAAACTCCACCTGCTATGGTGCAGATTGCTTCAGGTTCACTTTTCTGGTTTTGGCTGGTGTCTGTGGACTTGGTACCATCATCAGTATGATTTTGACACTTAGAACGCGACCAGTGTATCGAATGCTATATGCTGGAGGTTCATTTCGTCTATCTCAGACTTCAATCCACTGAGAGTGGACACAAATTATCTGCCTAGTACAAGCATACACCTTTATGACTGTGATGTGTTATTCCTAAAAATTTACGAGCCTTTGGTGGTACCACTTATTTGATCGATTTTGAAAATAATTCTAAGGAATTGTCCTTTCGTAATTCTCACAATGTGATCAATAGTTTTTGGGTGAAGATTAATGAATTTCCCATATTTAAATCGTGATTTGTGTAGGTCATACCATGCTGCTACTATATTTGGATAATGAGTCAAATTACTGGTAATGCTTTAAATTACTCCCAGTTTTTTAGGTACTTGTCTGATAATTAGAATGCAATATTTTTTTTTCTTGTGATGCGGATAATTTCATCGACCTTCAATTTTTGAACTTTGAAGTGATCGATGCTTCAACTAATTGAACCCGTCAAAGAAGTCTTCAAAAGACAAAAAGTAAATTAAGAAGAGGAATTACAAAAGAAAAATAAAAGTAAATAAAAAAAGTTCTGTTGTACTGTTTCAGCTCATTGTTTAGGCACTGAAAATTAATAATGGATGTGTTCTGTTAATATACAGCCAAAAGGTGTTTTCCTCTCGTCTCTGAATAGCTGAAAATTTTGTAGAAAGTGAACTTTTTAGCATCAATTTCAGTTACTGTCTTCCTTGTCTCATTTTCTTAGATTCTCAATTTTTTTTTGCTGATACTCTTGTTTGCATGGATAGACCCTCCTTATGATGCCCATTATATATTTATGCTTATTAATTTAATACTTAGTGCAACAGTTACAAAGCATACATTTAAGGATATGTTAAACTGATAATAAACTCGAACAAAAATCAGGTCCCTCCAACTCAATCTCTAAACAGAAAGAGCTCAGTTGCTAGTTTTGTGACAGCAACTCGGATTCTGCGGTCACGGATCCATCTCTTCTCTCTCCCCTTCTACATAGTTTCAGGGTTCAAAAGGGAAGTGTTTCTCAAAGATCTTCTGGCTAAATGCAGTAAAATAATCATTTGAAGATTGGGAGAGAGGACTAAGAATTCAGAGACTTGAATGTCAAGTTAGAATCAAATATAGTCTGTCAATTTGATCTCACCATTAGACATAATACAGTGCCTAAAGTAAAGTCAGGCAGACTCAAGCCCAACTTCTTATGCTTCAAAATACAAATTATATACTTCTTGCTATATAACAAACTAGCTAAATATCTACCTCTATTTCTCTGCCCATGATGACTCAAACTGGTGCATCTTTTCCCCTATCAAATCTAAAGGACATGAACATATAACAGTACAAGCAAAAGAGACTAGCTCAATAATATAGAACAGGCAGTGTGCTAAACTTACCCACAACCTGTATCTGAAAGAAGCAAAACACTCAAATGTCTCTGTGATTAATTAAAAATCAGGGAAAGAGGCGCCAAGTCAACCCTCCAAAGAGAAGAGAAAAGTTCAGTTAGGCTTTAGATCCTGAAACATGGCATCCCACTTGATCTCTTCAACAGCAGCAGACCAGTAGCCATCATCATCATCATCATCTCCATCCATCTTCTCCTTCCGGAAATGGTACACCACGGGACTAGAAAAACCATCAAGAACAGGATGAGCTGGAACTACTGTGGAACTTCCATTTGTGAGAAAGAGTGTCTCTTGCTTGGCCACCAACTTTTTGCTCCTCTTCATCACAGCACTCTTCCACCTTGTCCCTAAACCACTACTAGGCCTTGATGGTGGCACCACAACAAGTGCTGATGATGATTCTTCTCTGTGCATCAGCGTCCTCACATAGTTAGCCAAGTTCCTCTTCGTCCTTTGGATTGCCACCACGAGCTTTGCCACCGCGCGAGGGCTCTTTCCCTTCTCTTTTCTAGCGAGCTTGAGGATCTCTAGTCTGTGCTTTGCTATGGAGATGCCCATGCTTTGGAGAAACTCGTGGTTGAAGTAAAACATGTCGTCATCTTCAAGCTCGTTGTGAGCAAAGGTAAGGCCATACTCGTACACTAGAGATGGCTCAAGCCCAGTTTTGGAAAGCCACGAGAACCAATCCATCTCTGCTCACTACACAGTTTAAGGAACGCATGGACCAGGGTTCTGTTTTAATATGTATCACTTCAATCCACCATTGATATTTATACATAGAATAGAAGGCAAGGATGGTAATCCTACTTGTTACTGGTTTGACTTAGAATACACTTAGAGTTTATTACTCGATGTAAAAGCTTGGACCTTGGAAGGGGGTGGCTATGCTTTTTGTAAAAATAAAAAGTACTTTGTTGAATGTTGAGATACTAATAGTATGTGGCCATGTGGGGCATGTAACCCATGTTCACTGTTTCCCCCTAAATGAGGCCAAAGAGTTATCAGTCATCAGACTTTGAAGGGTAAGACAAAAGAGTTTCATGTGAACAAGTTATGCCGACAATCATGGCTTCGACAATGTCGATGACCAACTAAACCACCTCAACTCTTTTGGCGTACTTATTTGATACCAAAGTAGGGGTAATAAGAGTTTTCAGACTAAGCATTTTGTAGATTTTGACTTGGTTTAACTGAAACCAAAGACATTCTATTATTATTCTTTTGCAACAAAAGTATTGATCTCAATCAAGTGGAGGTGACTTCTCAACTTAACAACTTTTGCATGTAAATAGAACGAACAGATAAATTAATCAAAAGTCTGAGGTGACTTCTCAACTATGAATTCTTTTGCAAAAAAATATTGTTTGATTTCTACATGCATCTGAAACTTGTCCCAAGTATCACGCTTCAAAATAATATTGAAAAAAAAAAAAAACTGTTCTTCTTCACATAAGACTTTTTGTAGTTGAATAATACTTTTTTTTAAATATCCTTAATTAATTGGCATACTTTTACCAAAAAAAAAAATTAATAAATATTAACAAATGAAGGATATAAAATTTCTATCTTCTAATTTGATTTGTTTTGAGATTATAAATATTATATTTTTTCTTTATCAACTTTTGAGAATTTCTTTATCTTTTTTCTATTTCAAAAGCATCACGCATTCATTAACTTCCAAAAATTAATGATTCGTTTTCCTTAAACAAAAGTGCTGATAAAGTTTGAAGCAGAAAGTAATCCATGACTCGTGTCGTGCTATCTCACGATGAGAATTTATTTAAAAGGAGTTAGTGTTTGTGGACATTTTATTGATTTTGCAATAATTATAATGGTTAAAGAATTTTTAGTGGTTTTGTTTATTAAAAGTATATATAACGTGATATTAGTTGATTTTTTCCTTGGAAAAAAAAAGTATTTGTGAATTCTTTTACTATTGTTCAATAAATAATATTTGATTTCATATAATGAATATTTTTATTTTAAAGTTCATAAAATCGGAAGAGCTTGTCCAACACCAAATATACGATTCAGACACTATCCAATGGTTGTGTTATCTTTATGTTGCCTTTACCAAAAGAACATGCTTCTATCAATTACGTTTTGGATCCATGCAATTGCAGGTTCACGAGCAGGAATAAAAGATCACAGCACTATTCCCATGTGAATAATTTAAAAAATAAAAAATTAAAGGCTTAAATTTTATTTTATTTTTCATCTGAAAAAATGACAAATAAACATGTTTAGTATCAAAAGAGAAAAATAAGTAAAATAATATTATCTTTATATTTTATTTATATCCGGTTAAACTTCTGTTACTCTTTTCTTTTATTCTATATTTCATTTTCACTAAAAAAAATTAACTTTTATCTAATTATGGCTTCAGTACTATCCTCAACAAGTTTTCTATGATGAATTCATGACCTCAGCATGATGTATTTTTATGACCCTAAAATGTGGACCATGTGAGTTACGTGGTGTCAGATCAGAACTGAGAACTTGTCTTTAAAAACATCTTTAATTACTGGTTCTTCCTGTCATAACATTAATGAGATAAAGATACGCCATGTTACTGCATTTAAAAGAGAAAACTGGATGTGCTATGGATATTCGTGTCCCAACCAATCACAACTTGTTCTCAATATCTTATTCATTTGATGTGTTATCGATATTTGAATAGTAATCATAAGTTTTTCCCAACATCTTATTACTCTTGTCCAATATAAAAGGTTGAATCGGTATTAAACGAACTGGTAATGATGTTCATGATTTGACTTAGATTTATATCTGCTTATAAAAATAAATTGCAGATCAATTTAGATTATTTTATTTATAATTTTAAATTTGACCTAATTTAATGGTTTGGATCAAATCAGTTTAATTAGGTTATTTGGTTATTTAAAATAACATGTTGATAATATTTATATACATAATAAATGCTATAATAATCATGATTTAAAAATCAAATACACTATAATAAATCATAACATAGTTCAAATTTATGGGTATATGTGAGAGTGGTAAAGAAAGAGAAGAAGGAATTGGGTGGAGTGTGGTGGGGGAAGGAAGAAGGTAGTGAAGGAGTGAAAAAAGAGAAATGGAATAGGAAGAAGATGAAGATGATGGATTAACTTTAAATACTAATAGTATTAATCTCTTAAAATATATATTTTAAAAATAGAAAGAACTATATTAAATTTTTTAAAAGATAAAGAATCATAGCCTAGTATTTACAATGTGTATTAAATACAATCTATTTATAATCAATCTTATAACATTGTTTGGGAAAAGAAGAGGGAAGAAGATAGAAGATTAAAAAAAGGAGATAAAAAATATGATATGTTTTCTTTAAAAGAAATATGTCTAAAAGACCAAGTTATCCATATTTACCACTGTGATTATACCTCCAATATTTTTGGCTATTGAAATGCTATTGAATGTAAACAACTTTCCCCTCATTTCTCTTTCTTCCCATTTTAGACGGATTGCAAAATATGTGGATTCTACCTTCATTTTTCCATCAATATTTCTAAACAAATACTTCCAAGTTACTTCCTTTCTGTCTCAAGGGAATAGATGTGCATCACTTTTGTAGTAAAAAACAAGTTTGACCTTTGACGTAAAATTTAATATAGACCCACATAACTGCAGCATACAAGATTAACCAAATGAGGAGCATGAAGGTCACCTCTTTTATGTCAACTTCACATAGGGCCAAATTTATGCTCAGATTTAGGCTTATGTTAGCAAGTTGTTTGCATTCTACTTCGGATGTGATATAGACATAATGTTACAGTTGTGCATGATTCTCATGCATTGTGGAGTTTAAGTGTCTGTCTCCGGTGAAGTTAGTCATTCAAGGCGCAGTGTGGGGTGTGAAAGATCTTCCTGTATTATTTCCCAGGTAATAAACTCAATTCACAAAAGCATTATATAACAAGCCAACAAGTGCTTTCGCCCGACCTTAGTTTACAGTAAATGTTTCAAGTAAACAAGTAATATGAAAGAATTATCCCAAAGGTGGTAGATGAAAAACAACTAAAACAGATGTTTTCTGTCAGAAAATGAAAATAAATAGTGGGGTGTTCTAGTTAAGCAATTGTGGAATCTATTACAAAATGTTACAACATCATACTTGTGTAAAACCAAAGAACAGAAAAGATAAAACAGCTATAAAGAGCAGAACTGTATGCAAACAGTGGCAAACTGATCAGCCACGTCCTCACGTCCTGAATCAATTGATCATCAGTCCTCAAAATTGGAGGACTTTTTTAAGGTTTATGTGCATCTCATATCCTATATATCATACCCGGGGCAAAAATACTTATCCCATAATACAAAACAATCCTGTCACCCCCTATCTTCTGCTGTTTGAATCACATTGCAGCAGAGCCAATGAACAAATGCCGTTTACTTTAAAATACCACATGATTCCTATAAAAAAGAAACCAATTGGTGTGATTAAGACTTACTCTCAAGGCTATAGACATTGCTAACAACTCCTACTATGCTAACAGTCACAGCCAATACCAACATCAACCATGATAAAATCCATTCCCCATAGCTTATATCCCCCAGATGACTTAATCTCAATGAAACAAGAGAAGGAAATATAAAACCCAATGAAACAGCCGTGGTTGCACCAGTGAACTTAAAAGCTGTCCATATGTTTGGAATCATAGTAGACGCAATATATATGAGGACCAACAGAACGGCAGTCAGCCCCAAAGATCTCTTCTTACTTTCTGAAAGGGGAGGTGATCCCTCAAACACTAATGTGTCCACTGTTTGGCGCAGTGAGAAATGAATAACAGGGAAAACAAGTATCAAATGAAAAATGTAACCAACCCGGACAACAAAGTTCAAGACCCAGCTATACCGAATTCCAAGATCCTTATCAAAATTAGTCAGCACATCAGCCTCTGTGTCTTTCCCGAAGAGCAGGTAACCCGATATGGCAGTGGAAGCATAAACTAGGATGCACAAAACTGTGGTGTATCTCCCAACTCGGTTCATCTTCTGAGGGGACCGTTGTTCAAGCTCATTATATATGGGCTGCACATTAAAATGGCAAACATATGCATTGGTCATGATAGGTATAGCAACAAGAAAATCCAAAACTGCAGCTTTGGAGCTAAGATCAGGAGCCATCCTGCGAGAATCAATCCGTCCTTCCACGAGCTTAATGAAAGCAACTGTAAAAGTAACAATGACAAACAAGACAGCAAGAGCCACGGAGGCAGCCGAGGTCAAACTCAATGAATCAATTTTGTCAAGTGAACAAAGGGGAGCAAGGAAAATCACCATGACAACTAAAATCACAACCTTCCTTTGATCCCAAACCCCATTCCCCATTAACTGATCAAAAACCCCTATATGGCGACCGGAACCAGACATAACATCCCCCATGATTATCAAGTAAACCACCAAAACGCCAGCATTATTCACTATAATACAGATTTCAGACAAAATCCTCACAGGTCTTCCCATTGCGTGCTGAACAACCTCCCCATACGAGGATGCCTTACACAAAACAGAAAACCTCACCAACAATTCCACGCTAATTTCAGACAAAATTCCCATAAGAATGATCAAAATAATCCCCAAAACCAGTCCTAGAACTTTCATAGTGGCAGGGAGAGCCATGATCCCTGCCCCAATAACAGTGGTTGTTAAATTGAAAACAGCCCCAGGTATCCCAGAGCCTTGATTGGACCCCACGACAACAAGGGGGTAATTATCGACGTCCATTTCCAAATCTTCATCGTCTTCGTCGACCTTGGATCCCAAATACATCTCAGATTCGTCAAAAGAAACCTGGCGTGAGGATTTTGTGGAGTCATTTTGACGCTGCAATTCTAAATAGGAGCTAGCGGGTAGCGAGGAATAATCCTTTCTGTGAGACATGATTCGGCAATTGGTAGATGAAAAAGAATAATGGTGGTGTTGGGAAGAAGAATCTGCAGATCCGACCAGAAAAAGAAAAGAAAAACTTACAGATTTGAAAAGCAGGAGAAATGAAACGGTTATGGTTTTGGTTTTGCGGGAAGACTGAAGCTAGATCTCTGGGTCAATGATAGCGGAGCTTCTACCGAATAACATGATAAAACGGAAGGTGCGGCTCTTTTTTTGGGACACAAAACCTCTTTGCTTTCCGCTACCACCACTCCAATTTTTTCTACCGTTCCTCTATACTTTACTTATACAACGTACCAAACCAACTACTCTTATTTTTATATTTTAATTTACACTTTCTCATTGTTAAAGATAATATTAATATTTATTTTCTTTTACATCTCCTAAAATATTCATATAAATTACTTATAAACAACCCTGAATCTTCCCAAAAAACTTGACGGAATCACAACTTTGACCAGTTCCAATGACACGATGGAATCATCCACATTCAACTGATGGAAAATTATCTGCAACAAACAGAGTCTTGGAGAAGACATATTTCTTTGATAGACACCAGGTTTGAAAGATCACATTGGCAGTTCTGAATCATGCAACCAATGTGTTTGTTTTGAAGTGATCATAAACTAATGTTTTCTTCTTTAAATCTCCAAACCGTTATTCTTTACATAGTAGCACCATGGTTCTTGTCTAGCTTCTTATTGATAAAACCTATTATTCTCACTGAACAATTTTTTTGAATTGCTTAATTTGAATTTGATGTAAGTATGTACTATTTTGTCATTTTATAATTTTTTACATATCTACACTCCATAAAAGCTTACGAAGATTTTTATTTCTCTTAATTTCGGTCTTAGTTTAGTTTCTCGCTGGGGAATTTAAGGTGAAAGAATAAAATGTGAATTAAAATGCATATTTGAATCATGAATTTAACATGGTTTTTCACGTAATATTTGATTGAACTTTTGTTAAGTGTAATATTTGATTGAAATGAAATTTGTTAAGAATTTCAAGTGAGATTTTTTATTCTAAGAACTTCAAATTGTGTGAAATAATATGATTTTGATATAAAGTCACTCTCAATTTAAGATCGAAGATAATTTTGTGAAATTTTTTACTCTAAGAATTTCAACCTGTGTGAGATAATATGATTTTGATGCAAAGTCACTCTCAAGTTAAGATCAAAGATAAATGTATTCTAATAAGTTTATGATCGATCAATTAATTTAAACATTATGTCGGATTCTCATAAAATTTTCACATGCATTGGACTAGTTCAAGATTCTAGCCCACGAGAAAAGAAATTAAGGCAACTTTGAACATATAACACCTTAATAAGCGTGCAAAAACAAACAAGGCTAAGTACAATTTGCACTCAACCTATAACAAGAGCAAAATGAAGGCTATATGTTATTTGCAGTGTCATGCGAAGTGTTTGTTTTGTTATTAGTATGGAAAAAGTTTTATATATAAAGGGATGATAAGAGTTATGAGAGTTTTGTTTAATTGTCTTAGAATTTTCTTTTTTTGAAAAAAAATAAAATAAGGTAAAGGATAATAGAGAAAGATTGAGAACGTAAAGAGTTTATTTCATGTTGTATCTTTAACGTATGAATATTCGACACTTATTTTTATTGTTACTTTATTTTGGTAATCACTCATTTTAATTTTTGTTATTGTTAGTGAAAATCGATACAAGGATCGAAAAACAAAAGAGAGAAAATCGAAGACCATATGATTGGTTAAAAAGTTGATAAATCGGAAAGATGGTTGAAAGACATCCGGTGACCACGAGATAGTATGAACACATAAATCGAGAATCAGAAAAGAGAGGAAAATCGATGAAAGTAATGGTAAAGTACAGTGTAAAGTCAAGGTTAAGGGAAATTGTACTTGATAACTGGAATTGAGATCGAGGGAAACGATTATCCTGCATATGGAACATGAGGAGTGGCTTTTCACATCGTGGCTAAGGTTAGAAATCGAGGAACGGTTAAAATGCACATGGAACGTGGAAGCGGTTTTCTAAACCGTAAGCTAAGGTAAAAATCGAGGAACGTGCACATGGAACGTGGTGACAGTTTTTTAACTGCTCTTGGGAGGTTACATTGAAGGATGCATATAAATAGAACGAAGCTTGAAGAAGAAGAGGAAATGGGCAGAGACAACAGAAGCACAAGTGAAAAGTCTTCCGGAGAACGACGAATCATGAAGTTTCTGACAATCTGGATTTTCGTTCTCATTGATTGTTTTTACCGCTTTCTTTACTTTCCCTGGTAACTTATTTACATTCATCAATTTAAGTTCCTGTACTTTAAATTTTTGTCATTTACCTTGAATACAATATGAGATTTTGTACTTAAATTTCTTGTCTTTACTGTTTCTGCAATTTCGATTTTCTGTTATTTACATTTTTGCAATTTCAATTCCTTGCCATTTACATTTAATGCAATTTGAGGTTTCCGCATTTTTACATTTTGCTGCAATTTGATATTCTGCACTGTTTCTTCGATTCGATATTTTCTTCTTTACTGTTGTCTTTACTTCAAGTTTCTTAATACAAAATATCAAAAATAGTACTTTCGATTGTCAATCAGCACACTAGGTTGCGTTGTTAGCATTTCTTGATACTATGAGATTTTCGATTCTCATACACGTTTTGATTGAAAATTGTCGCTAGCCTAAGTGAAAAGAATCTACGTGGTCGAAATTTGATCAGAACCTAAGAAATCGAAATCGATCAATTTTTCACCAGAAACAAATTGGCGTGCCAGGTAGGGGGAGTTGTGTCGAAAAACACAACAAAAATTGGCTAGTTCGAAAGTGTATGAGATTAAGGAGTGGACGAGTAATAAGAATGAGTCAAAATCCACAAAATAATCAGAATAACAGTGAGATTCTAAATAGTTCACATTCACCAAACACTGGGGGGCAAGTTCACAATGGGAATATGTCTGTAATATCGACAACTGTGAGTACGTCAATGCCTGTGAGTACTGAACAAAGCCCAGGCACATTAGCAAACACTCAGTTAGGGTCTAGTACTGTAATGTCAAACAATATGCAAACTATGAGAATCCCCGTAACAACATATGCAGGTCCGCATATGAGTGTAAGGCCGCCTGATTTTTTCGTTTAATAATATGAATGAGGTTGGTACTTCTTCAATACAGCGAAGTACGAGATTTAACCTAGGAATGCCTTAAAACTTAGGAACATTTCAAACCTTAGGTATGCCTCAAAATTTTGGAGTATCCCCAAATTTAGGGGTGTCTCAAAATTTAGTAACACCCCAGAATTCAGGGAATGCGCAGAATTTATGAACACAACAGACGATGCCAATATCAAACCTAGATCACAGAACAAACCTGGATCACGGAAGATATACATTCGATAGAGATTATCATCGATCCAATTTTGAGACTATCGAAAACGCTAGTACTGGAATTTTCAGTAATTCATTAGGAGTACTTCGACAACAAATGGATGAAAGCAATTTCGAGATGGTTAAAATGTTATCACAACAGTTGACTACAGTACTGAACCCATTAGTTCAAAACACTACCACTAGTTTTGATATATTAGCGGACCAAATGACACGTATCGGGGATGCATTGGCAATACCTCGACAAATGAGGGTCAAAAATAATGTCAATCAGAATAATAACCAAAACGTTAATATCAATCCCCTTTATTTATTAAGGAGAAATCGAAACAATGATCAACATCAGCATGTGGGGAATGAATATCAGCATGTGAGGAATGATACTTGCGAAAATTTAAATGAGGGATTTCAAAATATGTATAATCAGAATAACATGCAATACAATCACATGCTCGGACAAAGGATGAATCCCCAAAGAGTGGAATTAAGATCATCCAATCAACTATACTTTGTTTCTCCTTTTCCAAATACGATTCTCGAGACAGAATTACCTCGAAGATACAAAATACCCAAATTCACCAAATTTGTTGGAGAAATTGGTGAATCCACTATTGAGCATGTGGCGCGATATCAAATCGAATGTGGGGACCTAGCGATGAGTGAGGAATTAAAAATGAAATACTTTCCTAGTTTGTTAACAAAGAATGCTTTCACTTGGTTTACTTCGTTGTCACCTAATTCGATTTATAATTGGTTGCAGCTGGAAAGAAATTTTCATGAGCAATTCTTTAGGGGGGAGACTCAAGTAAGTCTTATCGACTTAATGAATATAAAGAGATATAATCATGAAAGCGTAGATGATTATTTGAATAGATTTAGACAAATGAAGTCGAGATGTTTTACTCAAATTCCTGAATTTGAGTTAGTCAGAATGGCCTCTGCAGGTTTAGAATTCTCGATTAGGAAAAAGTTAGTTAATTTACCGTTGAATGACATGGCTCAGCTAGCTGATAAAGTGAGAAGAGTGGAACAAATCGAATATGAGAAACAGAGGTACAAGAAATTTGAGAAACCTATGAAGAAAGATAGGGTAGCGTATATAAATGACATATATGAGGAAAATCTCAAGATAGAAGTAGATATTAAAGAATTTGTCGATGAGAAAGTAAATATAGCAGAACTCAAAGTAGGAGCTCCATATATTTGTAAACTGCTACAGAAAAATGAAGTGAAAGACAAAATGACAAATCACACATATACTTTTGATGTAACAAAGGCAGATAAAATATTCGATATTTTATTGAAAGATAAACAGATTAAGCTGAGTGATGATCATAAATTACCTTCTGCAGAACAAAGAAATGGTCGAAAATATTGCAAATTTCATAATATCTATGGACATTGGACTAATAATTGTATACATTTCAGGAACACAATCCAAGATGCGATCAACCAAGGAAGACTGAAGTTTGAGGAGATGTCAATGAAAGTGGATACGAGTCCATTCGAAGTTCAAGTAGGGTATGTCGAGTCCCAAACGGGCATGACTGAAGATGTCCGATTGATGCATTCGACCTTTATAGGTATGGTCGATGTTACTGAAGAC